CCCACCCCCACCTCATGCTCTCAGAGCACAGACTCCAACTCTGTTTACTCTAAGGAGACACATAAGAGAAAACTTGACCATAATCAAAGATCTTTCATTCATCAACTAATTCATTCATTGAACGAATGTGTATTGACTTCCTTCAATATATCAGAAACAACGTAGTGGTTACGAATCGGGCTGCAAACCGCAAGGTCAGCAGTTTGAAACTACCAGCCGTCCTGCAGGAGAAAGATGATGCCTTCTGCTCCTGTAAAGATTAACAGTCTCGGAAACCGTGTGTACAGGGTCGCTATGAGTCGGAACCGACTTCACGGCACACAGCCACCACAACTAATGGAGTTAACAGTTCAGGTAAACAGATAACTATTAATCCAATGACACAAACAAAGGTTAGATTTCAAACATGAGAAGTATTTAAAGTGAATGGGCAAGGTTCAAAGATAGGAATATTTGACCTGGTTAGGAAATGAAGGACTGATAGAGGATTTAATATGTAAAGAGTAAGGAAGAATTACCTAAGTAAAAATGGGAGGGAAGAATGTTTTAGGCCAAGGTACCAATATTTGCAAATGCTCTGTGATGGAGTAAGAGGGGGGTATGACAATTCCAAGTGACTTTAAGGTCAGCATATCTAGAATTGAGACAGTGATGTGGAATAAAGTACAAGATGAGGAATTAAAGGGCATGTATGCTATGTTAGGAGTTCTGATGTGGCACTGTTGGATAATTCACTGGATTGCAAGCTCCAAAGATGAAAGATTCAAACCCATAAACCACTTCTTGGAAACCCTACAAAAGGTCACTATGAGTTGGAACTGACATGATAGCACTTAACAATAAGCTATGTTATTATTTTTTTTTCTAGTCCATTAGCAAAGGTATCCATTGAACATTTCTAAGATAATTGATTAATAAGATGCAGTGTAAAGACTAGATTGATGTAAGGGCAAGAGAGAATGTTCAGGGACAAGTTCATCAGTTCCTATAGTAGCTTAGATGACAAGTAATATAGCTTGGAATAATGTGGGAGTCATACAAAGAGATAGAAGTGAGCAGGTGCAAGATATATTTAGGAGGTAAAATCAAATTTATTTGATGTTGGGATGAAAATAGGGATGCGAGGGAGAAAAAGAATTTCTGTGCTGTATACTGACAGCAAGAACATTAGAAGAAAATCTGGTTTTGTGAAAAGAATATGAGTTCTGTTTTAGATATGTTGAATTTGTAACGCCTGTGTGTCTTCCAAAATCCCTAAGGGACTTGCCCAATAGGTATTTGGGTGTGTTTTCATCTAGCGTGCTTCTGAAGTGAAAGATGAGGTTAAGAAAACGATGAGGATCCATGTTGCTGTGTGCCTGAGTCAGTTATGACTCAGAATGACCCTAAAGGACATGGTTTCCAAGATTGGGATTTTTAAGAAAGCAGATTTCCAGGTCTTTTTTTCCACAGAAGTTGGTGGGTTCAAACTGTTGAACTTTCAGTTAGCAGCAAAGAGCCTAAGCATTGAGCCAGAAGCTCTGGTTTACTTTACAAACAGCCCAACAGATTTTTAAAACATACAAAGACAGTGAGTTCATACATTTATTTTATGGAATTATGTATGTGTACTAAGCACTCCAAGGAGCTCTGGTAGCATAGTGGCTACAAATCAGG